GGCGACGTTCGCATCCGTGTGGGACGCGAGGAGGGTAATTACGACACTCGACGCGTCGTGACGTTGAAAATGAAGGAATACTTTGCGTGTGCTCGCACATACGGAGATTACACCGCGGTGTGGGTCCGCGTACGTGTGTATCTAAGCTTTTAAAAAGGGTTTTCGCGTCCGCAGAGGAACGCATTGTACCCTTAAGCTCTCTCGTAGGAGACGCGATGTCGATTCTTTTGCTCAACAAGTCGTGCCTTTTCTAGAGCGGGACTCGTTACACGATGGAGCCAATTAGAACGGAGGGACACCTTTTCAATGTTTGTTACGCCGCACCGCGCGGTAATTATGAGCCGCTTCTTGTCATTGGGCTTAATGAATGTCTATTAATTAGGCGTGACTGTGATATTGGGTGAATGTGAAGTGGAGATGGGTGCTGGTTGGCGCACTGAGCTGGCTTGTGTTTTGTGTATCGTATTATTGTTATTATTCCTCCTTTCCTTTTTATTTTCGACATTTCGAAGTCGATGTTTCGTGTCGAGAGACATTGTATCGGACTTTGGCTGATGAGAAATGTTTAAATTTCTGTTCCCTGTTTGAATTTGTTAATCCTCCGATCATCGTACATTTTTATTAATTTGAAGTATCCCTTATAATTTTCCTTAGATGCTAATTCCAAATTAATATTGAAAAGAAATTTCAATGAAATTTATATAGAGGTAGTTTCCAGGAATATTATTCCCTTCGCCTACAATATCATGCGACTATCTCTCCTGGTAAGGAAACCGGACAAAACTAGTGTCACAAATGAGAGGCATGGTTCGTAGATAGGAGCCAACGTAAACAAACGTTCAGGTTCACCGATGACTTCCTATTTCAGTTAGGTGTTATTCCTCGGAGCGTTCGAACGAAATGGCTCCACGTGTGACCGACTCTGTTGTTGATTATGGCTCGTGCCATCGGAACTTAAATCGTAGAACAACGTGTTACCTAGCACATACGGAAGATTATTACATTACGTAAACGAGTTCTTTCTTATGCAAATAATTATACACTTTCATAGTTCGTTATATGGAAACGTAAATCGAATATTTCGTCATGGGATAAACAGTTATCGGGGAATATCGTGTTTCCGAGTATATTCCAAGATAGTCGAGTCACACTTGCGTAACTTGCAAATGAGATGGATTTACACAGGTGTCGGTAACACGAGCACATTTTTGGAAAAGAGCACAGGTCTAATCTCAGAAGTTGTGTACGCCCTCGAAGCACAGTTTAAAGAAGTTTCCGTGCGTGAATGGATTTTATTATAATGTCTCGGTTTACTCACCATTCGCTTTCAATCGCCATCGGTAATAATTTTTATGATACTCGTTTATCATTCGTGTAATAACTAAGTAATCCTGATTATTCGTCACATCGGTGTGCATAAAAGAATCGTCAAACTTTAATTCGGTTATACGATATAACATCTTTTCTTTGATATTCTTTGTCAATTATCAAATGGTTTAAGAAATTTGATATCTTATTTTTGACGAAAGTAATGAAAGTAATGAGCAGTTGTTACATTAATTTGGAAATTTCTTTGTTTCAGTGACCGGAAGTGCCTAAAGGCCCGAAGATTCTGCCGTCGCAGCAGCTGGGCGCTGCGGTCGCTCCATGGCCGGGCGCCACCGGTCTCCTAGCCTCTGTCACCGCTGACGATATGGCACACAAAGGTAAATTTCTCCACCTTTTCTATTTTAACTTCCTCTAATGCTTAGAATAATTAAATAACTATGACACCCCGGTACAACCACTTTGCAAACCCAGCGGTTAATCTACATTTTAACGCGTAATGTTTCTCGCAAATGTGGAAACTATGTGTCGTAGTATGCGAAATTCGTCTCTGCAATAATGTTACTTATCGAGACTACTGTTTATTATACCTGATTTTCGAGGAGCAGTCCAAGCATTCCCATGCACTCACTCTTCAAGTCGAGAAATATTCTACAATAATATTTCTTTCATAAAATTAATTAAATTTTCTACCAGAATTTCGCAGAATAATAAATACTTCGTTAATTCTTTAATTATTCCAAGTATTATATTATATATTTGATTAATATTGTTATAGTTCATTCTGTCAGACATAAAGATACGTATATTTTATAAGAGAGTAATTATAATCGATCGTTATAATTTCTCTGATCGTCTGAATTACGTCGATTATTTTGTCGAAATTTTTACTCCGACGATTATTCACCAACAGAGGGCAAAAGAAACGCGTATCTCCATTCAAGGAATTTAATTCGCGTTAATTAAATTCTTCGCTCTCCTTTGCATCTCAGTCTTTCACTCGCATTCGAAGGTTATCAAGAAAACGGTTACCAAAAAGGAACCCCGTGGAAATAAATAATTTTATACAAATAATTTACCTCTTCGGGACAAATACATTCGTTCCTTTCAGTTAAAAGCGAAGATCTGCATATAATAGCATATAATATTCCATTTCTATAGAACATCTTACGATTAGTATAAAATATTCAGGCGTATCTAATAAACAGCTAGGATCAAAACGTAATTACACGTACATTTTTCTGTTTGATCGGAAGATCTACGAAAACCCTATGAAACTCCAAGGAAAGCAATTTCAAAGGAAAACGACGTTAATCCTAAACGGAAAACAATGTCTCACCCGAACCGTGCTCCACATGCCAAGGAGTCCCAAGAAGCAATTATTCTTAGAACAGGATCCACCCGTACGCGTCCTCTTTCACGGCAAATTTCCCACGACGTATAATAACCGCATACAAGGCATTTAAAGCGAAAACTCGCGAAACTGGCGCACGCTGAGCCGCGGCAAATTATACCGGCCTTATAGCGGCTAGGGTAGAAAGGGGGTTGGTCCAGGAAACTGCGAACCGGGAAATAGCCGTGAAGCCGAATCGAAACGTCCGAGAATCAAGAGGGAGACGTTCAGTTGATGGCTAAGGCGTTTAACCCCATTAGTCCTGAATGGAAGTTCACCGTTCTCTCTTTCTCCTTGCCTTTCCAAGTTTCCTCGTCGCTGTCCCGCGCGTTTGCTCGAGCTCTCTTAACACGAAGGGGGTCCAAAGAGGATGAACAGACGACGTCTCAAGGCTTTCTAAAGCCGACACCGGGCTCCTGCCTGAAACTGGCTGCTCACTTCACGTATTGATTTCCATTCTCTTACGCCTTCCAACGCTCGCCCTTTTCCGCGGCTTCCCCCCTGGCCCCCTGCCGCCCCCGCGCCGAAAATCGCCACCCTTCCGATAGGATCGCCCGGAGAATCTGTCACCGTGGTCGGCCTGCGATTAAGACGAGGACAAACTCTCGATTCGACTCGGTTTTCACGAATTTCGGAGCTGTTCCAGCGTGGCGAATGAAAGTCGGATCGCAGAGACTCGGATAGGTGCAGTTTGGAGGGTGTGGTTATTGGGAATTGTGTTTCGGATTTAGGTTACCGTGGCTAGAGTTCTTGTTGGTAATGGGGACTATCGTTCCTCGGGTTCTCTTTTTCTGTTTAGGAAGATTGTAGTATCGTGTGTGCAAGATTGGTGACACTTAATGATGGAAGATGAGCGTTACAACGTGATTCAAAGGGTATGAGAAATTACCTGTTCATATTCAATTAATACATGGTTAATAACATATACCTTTTGTACCTAGTATTCATATCTAGTGCCAATTTTTAAGCCCTACAGTTAAATCCAATACTAATATTTGTAACACGAGGTTGATTGAATTTAAAAATTGTCCTCCTGCAAAGAAAGGAAAGAGAGAAGAGGAATGGAGAAATGGAGTTATATTTTATCTCTGTAGTAGGAATATTTTTCTCATATAAAATAATGATTAATAGTGGTACATGTAACGTAGGGATAACCCAAACATTGGAGGAAAATCCTGTTCGATTGCAAATTTTCTTTCTCGTCCATATTCATCTCTTAACTTGATCATCTAGCCTACGTGTATCCAGAACAATTGACTCTCGAAAAATATCAGTTATTTGACGAAATAACTCGCTTCCTTCAGGCGACCCCGAGAAGTTAGGTCGTTCCGGTCCTTTTGCGGTTTCCATTCCGCGGTAGGAGTCTCAAGGTGACGTGTTAAATGGTCGATAGGAATTAAATCATCGAAGAATCTACAAGTGAGCAAGCGGGAATCTGCACGGTGCTCGAAAATCCACGAGTTATCTGACCGAGTGCGGCTCAGTGGGGTGTGTAGCGTTAAGTTGGCGTTAGCTCATCGAATCGTTTCGATGGGAACGACGTCGGCCGCGATGCCAGCAGACGACGAGGGTTTTGATCGATCGTACGTACAAATCGTGTTTCCGGTTTCTCCTCGTCACGGGAACAAATCGAGTCTTCTTTTTTCCTATTTTCTTTCGAATCCTTTTTCCCTCTTTCTCTCCTGCCTCTCGTTCTCTGTCTCCTCGCGTACCTCTTCTTTTTGGTTGGCGTTTGTTTGCTCGATTCTACGGTGAAAATTTTAAGCTCGTCCCGCTCGATTCGCGTCCATTCGTTTTTCGATCCTTTAACGCTTTCTAATCGCTCGGCGGGAATCGAACAATCGTCTGGCGAGAGTTTTGTTCGTTTTATGATCACGATCGGCTAGCTCGATCGGGACAGTTGCCGGGGAAATTGAATTTTGGGGTAGGTGTCGGAAGATTGAATTCTGGGCTCGATGATCGCGTTAATTTTTCAGAGTAGTCGAGTTTAAGGGTGCGACGGAAACGACTTATATGGTTAACCCTTTGCGCTGCAATCACGAGTTCTTTACCTAGAACCTCGTACTTAGATCGTAAGCTGCGCTGATCACGCGATCATAATTATATTTCACGAGTTTCAACGGGCCCAAGATTCGAAAAATTTCTCAAATTATCATCTAATTTTGTCGCGAATGGAATAGATGTATAGACGGTTCATTAAAAGTAAATACTACTTCGATGTATAATTTTTTGGAATTAAATCGCAGTGCGAGGGATTAATACGATATTGCAGAGTCGATTTAGAAATTTGTTAATATTTTCTTTAATAATACTTCCTTTGGTATGGATTCTTTGTATTGGCTGTTACAAATTTGCATTCGCTTTTTTTAAACTTATCTGTGAAGTGATGTGAATTGTAGGTTGCAATGTACCTTAATTTTGTATTCCCTTGTTTTGAAGATTCGTGTAATTCTACTTTCAATGATTTAATCATTTATTTCGACTAAAATATGAAGAAGGGGTTCTTATTTTTATTATTTTGTTGTTTCGTTAAATTCGAAATTTACTAGAAAATCGAGGCATTAGATGCGAGGTTTATATTTTTCACACAAATTATTGGAATATTAATATAATTTCTTGGATTGTGATGTTTATATATTATCTTCGTATAGTTTAATATTTTTAACCCTTTTAATTGATAGTCATTTATGCTAGTCATATCACATATGATGGTGGACGTGTACATTATATCATCGTATAATTCATTCTAAAATATGCAATATAGTATATATTGTTTTCTATACGATATTGCATAAAACATAGAATAGAATTTTAATTTTTGCTTCAAATATTAAAAAATAGTTATAAAGTATGCCAGTAGTTGAATCTGAACCTGGCATAATGTTATGAAATATTGGAATTGTAATACGTACACGTGTATGCACGTCTTTTAATTACAAATTTTCATTACAGTACTTCACTTTCATAACGACTATAACAAACTAAGGTTTATTGTGACTTATTTCTTCTTATTACTAATTCTTCGTGGTCCCATCAAAATAAAAAAGCAAATCGATACACGAAGCCATGGAACCTGCATGGAGGTATTCCTCAGTCGATAAAGATCAATTTCAACTACAAAATGTAACCCCATAGCTACTCCTGCTAATCATCGTGTTTGAACCCTAAAACCTTTCCAATTCTAAATCACTGTTAGTAATTCAAACTACTTAAAACAAGTTCAGAGTGTTGTACTTTCTCATTCGTTTTCGTTTGTTTATTGAACGAACGAAAAATTTATGATGGAATCAGGTGCCGAATTAGGTGACTATAACCAAGATGGTGTTTCTAGCGAACCATCAGATTTAATAAAATTTTTAGGACCATTCAGAGTAGCTGGTCGCGTGAAGGAACTCTGAGACTAACGACGAGGACTTGATTCTAATTTCTAGCGAGAGTTTCGAAAGTTTGACAAGTCTTTGCGTAGTTCACGAAACCGGGACTCCATAAATTCTGTCATTAATTTGCTAATGGTTCACAACGCTAGCAGCTCCGCTAACAAGCTCCTAATTTTACGCCAACTTTACACATTCTTCACTTCTTGATCGAAAAGGGTGAGACGAAATAGTGGGAGACTATGTTACGTCCAAATACAGGGAATCATGACACCTATTCGATGACAGTTTGGATTATTTTGTTGCAAAATTATTTCTGTCTTAGGTTTTCTATCGGATATTTTTATTCGGGGTCTTTTTAATTTCCATTTTTCTCTCTTTTCTTTCACAGCATAGATTCTTTTCGTTGGGTTTTGGCCTGTATTTTTAAATATCGTGGCATAAATTTTTTTGCCAGAGGCTTTATATTGCTTAAAAAGTGGCATACTTTGTTCACTTAGTCCGTGCACGAGGAACTTTTTATGAACTTCTAAACTTGCCTTTTGTGTTCCTATCCTAAAAATATTATTTTATACACGTGTATAGATCTATATAGGTATATGAAACAGGCATT